CGGCCGTTGCTAACGGAGTCTCCCCTGGCCGCGGTCGAGGCGGCTCCGGTACCGAGCGAAGGCCCCTCGTGGCCCTGAGCTCGTCCCCTTGTCGCTCGCAGAGGCCCGTGAGGTGCCCGCGCCTTCGGGACGGCTCACGCCGGTGAGCGGTGGAGGAACCGGCGGCGGGGAGGTCCCCTCTGGCTGCCCCTTGGGTGCGTGTCCCTCCCCTCGGCAGGAGCGCGCTGCTCCTTTGGGCCGTTCCCGGGATTTTATCTTGTTTTTGTTGTACTCAGCCGTGTGGCACCCCGCAGCTTCCCTAGAAGAACATCTAACGTTTGCTCAACGTTGTGAGACAGAAGGTGCTGGGAATAAATGAAGAAGAGCAGTGCAGGAATTCTGTTACTTCACTGATTTCAATGTTATTTCCCTGTCTTTCAGAATTGCAAGTATTGAGTCACATTCACTATGTAAAAAGTATCAAGTAGCCTTATTTGCGCAGGCAACAGAGGTGCTGGCACCACGGAGCTGAAAGGGAAAGGCAGAAAATGAGACGGGAGTTGAGGAACCGGGGAGTTAAAGATGTGCAGGGACCTGTGTGACAAAGCGGATCCCATCAGTGTTGTGAATCCTAAGCGGGCATGGATGGAAACACAGGTGGGAGGTTTGCGTAGCAGAGTACTGATATTGAATAAAACGGTGCAAGAAAGAAAAAAGAGAAAAGAAAAGCCAGCTGGAAGCTGAGGATCAGAGAGACATAGCCCTAGCAAAAAAGGGATCTGAGTAGGTGTTTCCTTGATGAGCACGCCTGGCACACACATAATCCTTGTGAGTAGTCTGTGGAAAGGAGAAAAATCAGTTGCCAGAGAAGTGGTTGGATATGTCGTGTTTTCCTTCTCATTCTCACCGCTTCTTTATAGCACGGAGCTTCTTTGGCGTGATTGTTTCAAGTAGTTCAGCAAAGTTGTTTTACAGTCCGTGGTAGAATTAGTGTCTGTATAGAGTTGGCTGTAGAAAACCTAGTCTTTGTTTTCCCATCTTCCCTCCTTGCCCCATCTCAGGAGCCTGCAGTTCCCCTGAGAGGATGGATACGCTGAAGAACTTGGCGGTGGAGGAGCTCCGGGAGCTGCAGGATAACGCGGAGGAGATCGAGCGCCTGGCCTTGGAGTCGAGGGAGGTGGGCGCTCGCTTTGCTGCGGGGGCGAGCGGGACTCGGCTGGGGTGTCTGCCCCGGCACTGGCTCCTGGCTCTCTTCTCCCAGGTCCAGGAGCTGCAGCTGGAAAGGGAGATGGCGCTTGCTGCTAATCGCAGCTTGGCCGAGCAGAACCTGAAGTTCCAGGCGCCGCTGGAGACCGGCCGCACTGACCTCTGCAACAAATACGAGGAGCTGCAGAAGCTGGCTGAGCGGTGTAAGGAGCAGAAGGCAAAACTGGGTGAGCACATCCTGCCCCCTTTCCTATGAGGTCATGTGGACTTGTTTTTTTTTTAGATTTTTCTCCTCATATCAACATTTTCCGAGGCAGGAAGGGAACAGAGATGTGCCAGAGAAGATCATTGCTGCTACTTTATCTGCCTCACATTGCAGAGCAGAGCTGCAGAACTAGATGACTAATGCAGGCAGTACAACAGGGTTATGTGCTGATGATTTGGCTGTATTTTGTGTTTCACATTTTGCTCTGCTCCTACCTTTCTTTTCCCCAGAGAATTTTGCAGCAGCGTTGCATCCTCAGGCCTTGCTAGAGCTTCTGCAGGTGGAAAGCCAGAAAATTGAAGAACAGTCTGAGGTGAGTTTAAGATTTAAATTCATCAGTAATTCAAGTGATTAGTCTTTGAAGACTTACAGTTATGCTTCCAAGCCTAATCCCTTAAATCAAGGATCATCTCTTTGTAGTTTGACCTTGTTACAGGAGAAAAAAAAAAAAGTGTATCCCTTCTTTGCTCTTGTGTGGCACAGTGGTCCTCTACGTGTCTCCAACAGAGATATAAATCCTAAACTGGGTCTGAAGGGAAGCAGTACTGATGCCCAAGCTGTTTTGTGTTCCAGAATATGGCTGAGAAGTTCCTGGAGGGTGAGGTGCCGCTGGAGACGTTCCTTGAGCAGTTTTCCGTCATGAGGAAGTTGTCCCACTTGCGCCGGGTTCGAGTCGAAAAGCTTCAGGAGCTGCTGAAGAAGCCGGAAGCGTTGCAGGAGCCGAGCAGAGACTCTGAGCAGCATCTACCTCCTCGCGCCCCTGCGGAGCAGCCGAAGCCGCAGCCCTTCCCGCCCGGGGCTCCCTCCTTCCCTTTGCCCTCCAGTCC